TTATATCCGACTCTGAATGCGAAAAGACGTATTTCTTAAATGTTGTCTGATTGTGCGAAAATACCGACTGGCCACGTGGAGCATTATTAATCTCCGTGACAACTACACGAGTAAGTAATCTTAGTTGGTAATTGGAAACTGTAAGCAATTCGTTGAAGAGATAAAAAAATACACAAGTACCATTCAGACCCCTGGTAAGCTCAGAAGTCCCCCGGCACCACTACAATCGCTATTTTTTATTTTTAGTGCCAATTTAAAGGGAGCTACAAAAAATTTGCAAAATTAAAGAGCACACCACTGAAGTATTGTTTTACACATGCACATATAATCGAAAAACTTATTTAAAACGCAAATTTTCAATGATGATTAGATTGTGTGACAAATAACTTCGAATGTTACGTTTGTCACAGAATAAATAAGTACTACGTGCAGAAGTTGCACTTCTTCAATGTTGACTACTTGCCGCCGTTTTAACCTTTTGAGCGCCACGCCAAAAACTCACTACCGTGTCCTGTACGCCAAAGCGAAAAGTAAACAAAAATACCTACGAAAAAAACAGTGCTGCCAAGAGTTGATATATCGATAACACAAAATAACTTGTTTTTGTTGGTTTTTTATACAATAAATGACTCTTTATAATCAGGTATCTTTTATTTAATCTTGTGCTGTCTTCCACTCTTTTTATATATGTACTTTGTACATAAATAAAAAAGAAACAATAACAATAAAATAGTAGTAAACCACAACACTACTCTCCATCGTGATGACGTCACTGTCACGACTGGACGACAACGGCGTAGCTGACCTTTCTTTTTGAAACTTTCTTAGAGATGTAGCCGTGTCGCACGTTGTGTATCGATTTCAAAATCGATCTAACCAAAATATACAGACATCGATTCTAAATATTTTATGGCAAGGCGTAGGCCAAGTGAATCACAGAAGAAAAGTCTTACGCTCTTATGACAATGGGGGTTTCATATGATGCTGATGTTGCTAAATGATTTTGGATTGAGAAAGAAAATCGCACAACACAAAATGAAAAATTGCTCTTCATACCTTAAGTAAAGAAAACACATTTATTATTTGTAATTATATATTATTAAAATAAAAAAGGTACATAATTATTCACTAATCAACAATTGTAAATAATTATTTACCCTAGGTCTAGTCTTAAAATATTAAAATCTTGGTCTTTAACTCAATCAGTACTTAATATAGAAAACAACAATTAAAAATAATTAATAAATTATAGGTAATATTAGTCTTAAAATAACAAAAATCTTATGGAATAATAAAACAAATGTTTAGCTGTCCAAAGCAAATTTTCTAACGTGGTAGAGCCATGCTGCAGTTATATTACGAGAGAGTAGTTGTAGCACGAATGGGTCGGCTCAACCGGGGAAAACCACGCTCTCACGGAATACCGGCGTCAAATAGTAGCTTAATGCTGCTGTATTTCGTATGGCAAGTGTAGAGAACCGGAGACCCTCTTTACTGGAAACGAGGCATTCCATCTAAGTCCTCACGGGTGAGAGCGCATCTGCATTTTGATTCGTAATCGAGGATAGATGTAAATGTCTATGGGCCACAGCAACCACTTACCATCAGGTGGACTGCGTGCTCGTTTATTACCCTATGCTATAAAAAAAGAAATTAACCGTAAAAAACTATAAAGTGTATTCCTACCTCATTGAGGTAGAGTTAATCGAAAATGAAAAACTTTGGTTTCATGATAATTTTAATGTGCCGATTATGAAACGCTGCTACATTATGTATCAAATTATTAAAATAATAGAAAACAACTCATAAAATCGCTAAGCAGGTACGGATTGTATAATACATATTTTTCCTTTATTGAAACTGTCACTATAAACATATAAGTACTAAATTATGTTCATATACTTATTTCTACTTGGATATTTTCAATTTTTTATTTATTTAGGTAGGTAACTTTTGTACGGCTATACTGTAAGACGCGAAAGTGTTAGTAACAAAAAAAGAACGTCGCCGCCGAGAACAAAAGAGCAATTTAGTACTAAGTCGACACGCTATTTTAGATCTTAATGTTTTACCATTACATTGATTTTTAGTCTACTCACAATACTACTCGAAACGATTGTAATCCCGAAAGGTAGAAAGTCGATACACTATTTTGGACCTTAATGCTTTTTCATTACGTTGATTTATGGTCTACTCACGGTACTTACTTTTCGGAAGGATTATGGTGAAATATGGCTTAAGATATTTATTTCGCTAAACAATATTACTATTCGCTTTTTGACAGAAAAAATATCTACTAGTTGCAGTATAAAAGTAAACGAACATGATGAGTTATTCTAAACTCGAAAACAAAAACATAAAAAATGTGCTCACAAGAGTCGCCCGGGAAACAGTTCCAATATGTATCGAACTTATTATATTTAAAATTAAACAAAATATTATAAAATAATAGATACATAAAATAGGCAATATGCATGTTAGTAAAATAAGTTTAATTTATTAGAAACTTAAAGACACTTACCTCACTTAAATCTTCAGGTAATGATTCAGATTCCGAAAATTCATCATCGTCAACGCTTTCCAAAATCCGAATGAGTTCTGAGGCTGAGGAATCGTTCATGTTGCACTGCACTAATTTTCCCGCTAATCGCTTATGACGTCATCAGCGTGTCGTCTATACTAGACTACGGCGCCCAGTGAACTGATTTTCGATGTCTCGCTAAGGATGCGCCAGAGTTGAGATATTAGATTTATTATGGGAAGATAATTTGATATTTTTTTTTAATTCATGTAGCTAATTATAGTTTTATATTTCTAACCTTTTGTTTTATTTAAATATCAATAATAATAGAAAAAAAATAACACGTTTGAGCTTAATTTTGAATAGTTTTCAATAAATTTATGCCTAATGCATTACAACACTAGCGGTCAAACATAGACGACTTTGGCGTGCTGGACATAGTATTTGCTTAGATAAAAATCCATTTTTTTTAGTTCAATGTTTCTTATTACTTGTGGCTCTAGGAGACTTGTTTTATATACTTACATGTTACTGAGTTATTCTTTTTTTGAGGGGTGTAGAATTAAAATACCAGTAATAATTTTCCAATGTCTATATTTCATATTTTTGTGGGCCGGGTTTTTTGTCAACTATAGACGTCGTTGGCGCTCAGGGCACGCAGGTGCTGGTCACGTATAGACGACTTTGGCGCTCAAAAGGTTAATAGCCTACATAATTATTATTAATTAGATATATCACGCACGCAAGCTAAATCAAACCTTATCTTTTGTTTAATTACCTTTTGTCGCTTTTCATACGACACCCACGGAATAAAATGGATTCCCTTCCTCCGCTACTAAATGTCGAAATCCCCCCTCCCCTCTATAAGTCTATCTACGGGGGAGGCCTGCGCTCAGCACTGGATATCCGAAGTCTTTTCAATCCAGTAAAAACTACTACTAATACAACCAACAGTTATAAGTTTCAGAAATATACCATCGCATTACTGCAGATTTGTTTAAAAAAAAAATAAAAAATAAAAATATAAATTTCTTTGCAACTTTCCGCTAAACTAAAAAGTTCTACCTGAACACCCCCCCTCCCTCTTTACACCTCCTCACCACTACTTATATAAAAAAAGACCTTTTAAACAAAAAAAAAATAAACTGATCCGACTGGGATTCGAACACCGGACCCATGGCAGTAAGATTTACGTCCTGTACAAATAATCGCTCTGACTGTCATTTATATATTTCCAAAACATTATTACAAAAATAAATATGACTTTCCAAACCCTCAAACAATGCCCCGTTTTTACCTCGGTAATGAAACGACTACGAAAGGAATTTATAAAGGTTTTTAAGATAAAAACAAGTGATCTATTCTTCCTTTAAATTTTGATACCAAAAATAATTTAATCCGTTTCTTATATTTACGCGAACACTACAGATTGAAATAACGCTAGTTTTTACAGAATTTATCGCATATATTAAACTTTTTAAATACCCGATTTCAACGTCCAGATGTCATAGTTAACCGCGGTTACCATAACTATGAAATCTGGACGTTGAACATCTCAGTGACCCCTGCTGTGACCATGGGTGCTGTAAAGCGCTCGAAACGTCGGGTATTTAAAAAAATTCCGTAAAAACTAGTATTATTTTAATTTAATCGGCTTAGTTTTTTAGAAGAAAACAGGGGAACACGAAACGACGATCGGTCATGGTTTTTGAAGGTAAAATCGTTCTGAGCTGCAGTTGTCCCTGTCGCACTCCGCGAGAGGTGAGGGAGGGTTAGACTAGTACGTTCACACTTAGGGAGACGCGCGGTACTAAGATACGCACACAAATACCGACTATTCACTCACATATTGATATTTCGGTTGCTCGGGCGCAGCGCGACGGCAATAGTTTTATTGTTTATAGAATAAGGGCGACAAATGAGCACATAGTCCATTTGATGGTAAGTGGATGCTGTGGCCCATAGACATCTACATTTATCCTCGATTAAGAATCAAAACGCAGACACGTTGTCACCCCTGAGGACTAAGATAGAATGTCTCGTTTCCAGTAAAAGAGGGTCTCCGGATCTCTACACTCGCTCACACAGCAGTATTACGCTGCTATTTTACGCTGGTATTCTGTGAGAGCGTGGTCCTTCCCCGGTTTAGCCGAACCATTCGTGCTACAAGTTTAATATATCTGCAGCGTGGCCCTACCACGTAAAAAGTTCCTTCAAATATCTATTTCTCAATTCTCGTGCAGACCTACTATTCTCTTAAATTCCTTCATTTCTTTTATCAGCCCGCAAAAGTCCCATGTCTACTGCTGAATAGTCTATAACGTTGAAAGTACTTGCCTGAATCGCCACTCTTAGGTAGGTGGATTGGCGAGCCCAGTAACAGACTGGGTCACCCAAATAATACGGCCGCTAGGAACACTGAAATGACACGTTTAAAAAACCAGATTTATTTACATACTATATATAAATAGATACAAAATCAGTGCTGGGCTTCAACATCTTGCTGCAAATGTGGGTACAAAGTTGCAATTCTATTGCCGGCAGCCATTCTTCCCGCAAAGTCAGGTCTCCGAGGAGGCCGGGGTGCTCCAAGCAAAGTCTCTAAAACATTCCTAGGTGCCCAGACATCGCTGTTGCTCGCCCCGTTCCCCGCACCAACAGGAGAGAGCGGAGAGTCTGTGGTCGCCCGGATCACCGTGGCTCGAGATTCACCTGTGAAAAATCATCAACATTCAAGTTTAAGCAACTTAATGGCGTAGTTTAGTCGAAACAGGCGATGTTCTAGAAATAATTGTAAATCTAGGAAATATTCCTTAAAACACAATCAAAAAAGACATAAACAAAAATATTTTCCAGTTTACACCGAGGTACATATGCTAAAAAACATTTGGTAAGACAGCCAAAACCTGATCGCGATAATCATTCTTGATGTTATGGAAAAATTCTTTTACGGCGGATATGCTTCGTGGTATCAACTTTTAACTATTTGAAAAAAAAATTAATTAATTTTTTCAAATAGTAAAAGTTTTAAAAAATTTAAATTATTAGAAATTAATAAAAGGAAATAGATGGATGGATGAAAGTGATATGAAATAATATGGCAGATAGAATAATAATTCATAACTTGTGAAATAAAATAGCAAAATATTTGTCTGTTATTATTTGACTGTTTGGAAGATAACCAAACATAAAAAGAACTTCAAATCGTAAAATATAAAAAAAATATTTTTAAAATCCTAAATAAAGTCACGAGACTTAACGTTGAGATAATATTTCATTCTCATTCTTTTTTATAATTTTCTATTAGCTTTAGCGATTGTAGAAAGTCAATTTAGTTAAGCTAGCTGAGCACACTAGCGCGTGATGCGATCTGCGGAAGTGAAACGGCTGTTCATCGACAAACCGGCGCGTGGCTTACGGTACGTGTACACCAAAATCGATTTTGTCAGCCGATGGCGGACAGAACTACCGGACGAGTAACTCGGACGTGTATGTGCCTACACTGTAGGCACATACACGTCCGAGTTGTGCTGACATTGGACGTTGCCGGTATTCTTTTCTATTTTTCTATTTTCAATATCCACAGTCGTTTAGGGAGATAACAACACTGACAGAAACAACAGAATAAAGACAACACGATTAAATTAAACTATAAATACACTCAATTTGCACTGCAGTCGGACGAGAAATCCAAACAAGTTCAGATTCGACGGTTGATCGGCCGTTTTCGTGCGTTATCGGACACGCACGCACGTACACGTAAGTATGCGGACGATGACGGTCGTGTTTGTGTACGCGCTCTCTTTGTTTTACAAGTGTTTGATTCGATCGTCCGAGTTTGGCCGTTGTCGCCCGAGCAAACTTCGACCGATTACGGATTTGGTGTATGCGAAGCGTTACACATCCAAGCAGCGAGTAACGGAACTACTAGAAGTGAGATGTACGAGGCAAAATGCATACCGAATCATAAAAGTATACGTCCGCATAAATACTTATTCCAAAACCTGGTTCCGCGAGTATTATGGCGTATCTATTATCGCATTTGCCTTATCGAGCGAATCTTCGTACTTTATGTACGTTTTTTGCGCAATTAGAAGTATTTTTGGTGAATATTGAAGTCTATTTTCCTTCGCGTATTTGTAGTTTTGTCGCCAGGACTGTCCGAGCTTGTACAGTGTGTCCGGTGACAATTTTCACATTTTAAAAAGTTATTACTTTTGAACGCGGGCAGATAAAGAGGCGCAGGGTGGCGGGATTAGTAGCGCCAGCGTTGTGACTTGTGAGTTTTAGCGTCGGTCGAGAATCGGGAGCAGCGCGCTTTCGCTATTGAGGCCTACTTAACAAGTAGCTTTCGCTCATTGTCGCGCAACGTAAGATCTGTAATCCATTGCATTTTTTGGTAGCTCTAAGTAAGATTTACTTTTGTATTTGTGTTTATTTTTTTGTTAAAAATAGCTTGTAGTGTTATTGACTGTTGTTTTTTCTACTACTTATGCCCAATCATCCTTTGTGACATGGGCACATGCTTCAACGAATTTTTTTATAGCATTGGGTGACAAACGAGCTCACAGTCCACCTGATGGTAAGTGGATGATATGGCCCATAGACATACACATTTATCCTAGTGGATGATATGGCCTATAGACATACACATTTATCCTAGTGGATGATATGGCCCATAGACATACACATTTATCCTAGTGGATGATATGGCCCATAGACATACACATTTATCCTAGTGGATGATATGGCCTATAGACATACACATTCATCCTAGTGGATGATATGGCCCATAGACATACACATTTATCCTAGTGGATAATATGGCCCATAGACATACACATTTATCCTAGTGGATGATATGGCCCATAGACATATACATTTATCCTAGTGGATGATATGGCCCATAGACATACACATTTATCCTTGTGGATGATATGGCCTATAGACATACACATTTATCCTAGTGGATGATATGGCCCATAGACATACACATTTATCCTAGTGGATGATATGGCCCATAGACATACACATTTATCCTAGTGGATGATATGGCCCATAGACATACACATTTATCCTCAATTAAGAATCAAAATGCAAATGCGTTGTCACCCCTGAGGACTAAGATGGAATGCCTCGATTCTAGTAAAAAGGGTCTCCGGTTCTCTACACTCAATATGTGAAACACATCAGCATTACGCTGCTATTTTACGCTGGTATTCTGTGAGAGCGTTGTCCCGCCCTGGTTGAGCCGACCCATTCGTGCTACAACTATAATATTATATATGTAGCGTGGCTCTATCACGTACAAAAAGTTATAGAAGAAACGGTCCAAAAAGTTAAAGCCGAGTTACAAAATAGGAAGACAAACACAAAATCACAAAATTACGCACAGTAAGCTCTTGAAACGAAACAGAAACTTTTTTATTCAATATAGATTATGAATAATACTTATCGACAGTCACTTTTTTCATTTACCACTGGTTCGCAAAAAATACCTCTGTCCTGGGAACTTCGATCAACAATACCAACTAGATAACGGGTCACGTACAAAATCATAGCTAAATACTGTCCGCATGAACATAAACTATGAAAATACATGAATTAAATAACATTTAGTATGAAATCAACCAACCTTAAGTCATAACAAATAAAGTTCTTTTTCCCGTTATTGCCTTGCGAGCTACACTCTCACGTGCAAGAGCTACGTCTCATGTGCGCTCTTATTTACTGAGATGGATTTCTTGCGCCGACCCGACATCTAGTTGGTATTGTTGATCGAAGCCTGGGAAGAACCAGCAAGAAACCCAACGGGACTAGGTTTTTTTTTTTAAATAAGAGCTTACAATCATGCGTGTCACAGTTAACAACACAAGACAAATTAGAAATAGCTTGGTAGCGATCACCCTTCCCAGGGCTTATTATCATCCATAAATTCCTTAATATTAAAATAACCCTTTTTATATAAACTTAGTGTAATAAAGTTTTTGAACTAGGTATGTGTACGTCAAATTTTGTATATTTTCTGGCATTTCGCTATAAAATCATCGCCTCAAAAATGAATTACTGATTCTGTGGAGTCGAGTAACTGGTATCAAAATGGCGGGATATTGAAATTATGTAGTGGTTATTTTAGCACGGCCTTGTATATCAGTTTTTTGCCTACAAAAATTTACTTTGACAAAGTGAAAACAATAAACTTGTTTTATTCATGATTCATGTAATTTAAGGAATTTTGAAAATAAAAATTAAATTAAACAAATAAATAATTTAAGAAATTAATGATTCGATTATTAGAATATTTTTACCGATTATTTAATTATTTTGCCGATTATTCGCATAACAATGAATTTTAATCACCTAAACACTACGGTAATATAGATAGCGACATGTCATTGAAACGACGTCAAGTAAAAAAAGTTAATACTGGTTATTTTTTAATATTTTGTTTTGTTTGAAAAATTCAAATTTAAATTAGTGATAAAAAACTATGCACGTTGTAATGAAATATAGATAACCTCATAATTATTCGGAATTTATGCCATAAAAGGTTATTTTAAATTGTGTGAGTACGCTTGTGCAAAGTTATAGCGGAATGATTAATGTGAAACGTCAAAAGGTATTTCTTAGATTTGGTTGACTATAATTGACTTACTGTTGTTATTAGTACTATCTATCCTAATTATGATAGCTGTTGGTCTTCCAAATAAAATAAAATAAATAATCAAAATAATAAAATAAATCCATTCAATATTCCACGAATAAAAAATGCGCCGTCAAAAAGTTTAATTCGATATTGGGTAGCAAGATTTAAAACTTGTGACTCAGTTAAACCTGCGAGTCACCAAGGTCAAATTCAAATTTATAAATTCGTTTAGCTGGTACATTTGAGTTTTGAAAACAGTTATTTATTTGTGTTTTCCTCATTACTTTTTTCTTTGCCGTCGCTTATTACCGCACAATGGAAAACATAAAATATCGGTATATTTACGAGTACGAGTTCTACCGTGGCACCAGTGCTGCAGAAACAGCTCGAAGGATTAATGATGTGTACGGCGCTGGTATCGCAAAAGAAAGCACGGAACGTTTTTGGTTTCAACGTTATCGTTCTGAAAATTTCAACCTTCAGAACCAACCCCGTGGACGGCCGGACACAAAAGTGGAAAATGAAGAATTAAAGGCTATTGTGGAAGCACATCCATCACAAAGCACTTCAGAGATAGCTGCAGGCTTCGGTGTAAGTGATAAAACTGTATTAATCCACTTCGGGAAAGTAAAAAAACTTGAACGATGGGTACCTCATGAATTGAGTGAATCAAACTTGCAAACACGCGTCGACTGCTGTGTTACTTTGCTCAACCGACACAAAGATGAAGGGATTTTAAATCGAATCATTTTACTTGTGATGAAAAGTGGATACCGTACAATAATCAGAAGTGCTCGTCGCAACGGCTGAACCCTGGAGACCCAGCCAAATCCTGCCCTAAACGAAAATTGACTCAGAAAAAGTTACTTGTGAGTGTTTGATGGACTAGCGCCGGTGTCGTTCACTACAGCTTTCTAAAATCTGGCCAAACGGTTACGGCAGATATCTGTTGTCAGCAACTGCAAACCATGAAGGAAGAACTAGTTGCTAAACAACCGAGATTCAATCGCTCTAGGCCACAGCTGCTTCACGACAACGCAAGACTACACACTGCAACAACAAACAA